CTCAGATACCTCTTAGAGGAATATCGGTTTCAGTGTCATGGTGGCCGAGTGGTTAAGGCGTTGGACTCGAAATCCAATGGGGTCTCCCCGCACAGGTTCAAATCCTGTCCATGACGGTTTGAAGTTTTCTCACTTATTGTGAGAAGTTTATACTTAATTTTGATGTTAATGGACCCAACTAATAAACTTAGATATTCGTTAGAGGACCACAAGGATCAAGGTGTCATGGTGGCCAAGTAGTTAATGCATTTGACTTGATTTCCAATCGGGATTGGCCACACACATTCAAATCCTGTCGATGATGATTTTAAGTGTTCTCACATATTTTTGAGATGTTTCCGAAGCATTTTGAGTTATTGGATGAGACTAAGAAACTCAGATACCTGTTAGAGGAATATCGGTTTCAGTGTCATGGTGGCCGAGTGGTTAAGGCGTTGGACTTGAAATCCAATGGGGTCTCCCCGCACAGGTTCAAATCCTGTCCATGACGTTTTGAAGTTCTCTCACTTATTTTTTCAATGTTTATAAGTAATTTGAGGTTAATGGACCGGACTAATACACTTAGATATTCGTTAGAGGAACACATGGATCAAGGTATTCTGGTGTGCAAGTAGTTCAGGCGTTAGACTTGATTTCCAATTGGGTATGGTCATACACATTCAAATCCTGTTGTTAGCCGATTTGAGTTTTTCACGTATTTTTGAGATGTTTATAAGTAATTTGAGGTTATTGAATAAACTTAGATATTCGCTAGAAAAACACCTGCATCAGGGTGTCATGGTGGCCGAGTAGTTAAGGCATTCGACTTGATATCGAATTGGGTATATCCACATTGATTAAAATCTTATCCTTTGAAGTGTTCTCACGTATTTTTGTGACGTTTATAAGGAATTTTGAGATGTTGGAATAGACTATGAAACTCAGATACCTCTTAGAGGAATATCGGTTTCAGTGTCATGGTGGCCGAGTGGTTAAGGCGTTGGACTCGAAATCCAATGGGGTCTCCCCGCACAGGTTCAAATCCTGTCCATGACGGTTTGAAGTTTCCTCACTTATTGTGAGAAGTTTATACGTAATTTTGATGTTAATGGACCGGACTAATAAACTTAGATATTCTTTAGAGGAACGCATGGATCAAGGTGTCATGGTGGCCAAGTAGTTCAGCTGTTCGACTTTATTTCCAATTGGAATTGGCCACACACATTCAAATCCTGTCGATTAGAGTTTTAAGTGTTCTCACATATTTTTGAGATGTTTACGAAGCATTTTGAGTTATTGTATGAGACTAAGAAACTCAGATATGTTAGAGGAACGTCGGTGACAGTGTCATGGTGGCCGAGTGGTTAAGGCGTTGGACTTGAAATCCAATGGGGTCTCCCCGCACAGATTCAAATCCTGTCCATGACGATTTGAAGTTTTCTCATTTATTGTGAGAAGTTTATACTTAATTTTGATGTTAATGGACCGAACTAATAAACTTAGATATTCGTTAGAGGAACACATGGATCAAGGTGTCATGGTGGCCAAGTAGTTAATGCATTTGACTTGATTTCCAATCGGGATTGGCCACACACATTCAAATCCTGTCGATGATGATTTTAAGTGTTCTCACATATTTTTGAGATGTTTACGAAGCATTTTGAGTTATTGGATGAGACTAAGAAACTCAGATATGTTAGAGGATCGTAGGTGACAGTGTCATGGTGGCCGAGTGGTTAAGGCGTTGGGCTTGAAATCCAATGGGGTCTCCCCGCACAGGTTCAAATCCTGTCCATGACGTTTAGAAGTTCTCTCACTTATTTTTTCAATGTTTATAAGTAATTTGAGGTTAATGGACCGGACTAATACACTTAGATATTCGTTAGAGGAACACATGGATCAAGGTATTCTGGTGTGCAAGTAGTTCAGGCGTTAGACTTGATTTCCAATTGGGTATGGTCATACACATTCAAATCCTGTTGTTAGCCGATTTGAGTTTTTCACGTATTTTTGAGATGTTTATAAGTAATTTGAGGTTATTGAATAAACTTAGATATTCGCTAGAAAAACACCTGCATCAGGGTGTCATGGTGGCCGAGTAGTTAAGGCATTCGACTTGATATCGAATTGGGTATATCCACATAGATTAAAATCTTATCCTTTGAATTGTTCTCACGTATTTTTGTGACGTTAATAGGGAATTTTGAGATATTGGAATAGACTAGGAAACTCAGATACCTGTTAGAGGAATATCAGTTTCAGTGTCATGGTGGCCGAGTGGTTAAGGTGTTGGACTCGAAATCCAATGGGGTCTCCCCGCACAGGTTCAAATCCTGTCCATGACGATTTGAAGTTTTCTCACTTATTGTGAGAAGTTTATACTTAATTTTGATGTTAATGGACCCAACTAATAAACTTAGATATTCGTTAGAGGACCACAAGGATCAAGGTGTCATGGTGGCCAAGTAGTTAATGCATTTGACTTGATTTCCAATCGGGATTGGCCACACACATTCAAATCCTGTCGATGATGATTTTAAGTGTTCTCACATATTTTTGAGATGTTTACGAAGCATTTTGAGTTATTGGATGAGACTAAGAAACTCAGATACTGTTAGAGGACGTATCGGTTTCAGTGTCATGGTGGCCGAGTGGTTAAGGCGTTGGACTTGAAATCCAATGGGGTCTCCCCGCACAGGTTCAAATCCTGTCCATGACGTTTTGAAGTTTCTCTCACTTATTTTTTCAATGTTTATAAGTAATTTGAGGTTAATGGACCGGACTAATACACTTAGATATTCGTTAGAGGAACACATGGATCAAGGTATTCTGGTGTGCAAGTAGTTCAGGCGTTAGACTTGATTTCCAATTGGGTATGGTAATACACATTCAAATCCTGTTGTTAGCCGATTAGAGTTTTTCACGTATTTTTGAGATGTTTATAAGTAATTTGAGGTGATTGAATAAACTTAGATATTCGCTAGAAAAACACCTGCATCAGGGTGTCATGGTGGCCGAGTAGTTAAGGCATTCGACTTGATATCGAATTGGGTATATCCACATAGATTAAAATCTTATCCTTTGAAGTGTTCTCACGTATTTTTGTGACGTTTATAAGGAATTTTGAGATATTGGAATAGACTAGGAAACTCAGATACCTGTTAGAGGAATATCAGTTTCAGTGTCATGGTGGCCGAGTGGTTAAGGCGTTGGACTCGAAATCCAATGGGGTCTCCCTGCACAGGTTCAAATCCTGTCCATGACGATTTGAAGTTTTCTCACTTATTGTGAGAAGTTTATACTTAATTTTGATGTTAATGGACCCAACTAATAAACTTAGATATTCGTTAGAGGACCACAAGGATCAAGGTGTCATGGTGGCCAAGTAGTTAATGCATTTGACTTGATTTCCAATCGGGATTGGCCACACACATTCAAATCCTGTCGATGATGATTTTAAGTGTTCTCACATATTTTTGAGATGTTTCCGAAGCATTTTGAGTTATTGGATGAGACTAAGAAACTCAGATACCTGTTAGAGGAATATCGGTTTCAGTGTCATGGTGGCCGAGTGGTTAAGGCGTTGGACTTGAAATCCAATGGGGTCTCCCCGCACAGGTTCAAATCCTGTCCATGACGTTTTGAAGTTCTCTCACTTATTTTTTCAATGTTTATAAGTAATTTGAGGTTAATGGACCGGACTAATACACTTAGATATTCGTTAGAGGAACACATGGATCAAGGTATTCTGGTGTGCAAGTAGTTCAGGCGTTAGACTTGATTTCCAATTGGGTATGGTCATACACATTCAAATCCTGTTGTTAGCCGATTTGAGTTTTTCACGTATTTTTGAGATGTTTATAAGTAATTTGAGGTTATTGAATAAACTTAGATATTCGCTAGAAAAACACCTGCATCAGGGTGTCATGGTGGCCGAGTAGTTAAGGCATTCGACTTGATATCGAATTGGGTATATCCACATAGATTAAAATCTTATCCTTTGAAGTGTTCTCACGTATTTTTGTGACGTTTATAAGGAATTTTGAGATGTTGGAATAGACTATGAAACTCAGATACCTCTTAGAGGAATATCGGTTTCAGTGTCATGGTGGCCGAGTGGTTAAGGCGTTGGACTCGAAATCCAATGGGGTCTCCCCGCACAGGTTCAAATCCTGTCCATGACGGTTTGAAGTTTTCCTCACTTATTGTGAGAAGTTTATACGTAATTTTGATGTTAATGGACCGAACTAATAAACTTAGATATTCTTTAGAGGAACACATGGATCAAGGTGTCATGGTGGCCAAGTAGTTCATGCCTTTCGACTTGATTTCCAATCTGGATTGGCCACACACATTCAAATCCTGTCGATGATAGTTTTAAGTGTTCTCACATATTTTTGAGATGTTTACGAAGCATTTTGAGTTATTGTATGAGACTAAGAAACTCAGATATGTTAGAGGAACGTAGGTGACAGTGTCATGGTGGCCGAGTGGTTAAGGCGTTGGACTTGAAATCCAATGGGGTCTCCCCGCACAGGTTCAAATCCTGTCCATGATGTTTTGAAGTTTTCTCTCTTATTTTTTCAATGTTTATAAGTAATTTGAGGTTAATGGACCGGACTAATACACTTAGATATTCGTTAGAGGAACACATGGATCAAGGTATTCTGGTGTGCAAGTAGTTCAGGCGTTAGATGTGATTTCCAATTGGGTATGGTCATACACATTCAAATCCTGTTGTTAGCCGATTTGAGTTTTTCACGTATTTTTGAGATGTTTATAAGTAATTTGAGGTTATTGAATAAACTTAGATATTCGCTAGAAAAACACCTGCATCAGGGTGTCATGGTGGCCGAGTAGTTAAGGCATTCGACTTGATATCGAATTGGGTATATCCACATAGATTAAAATCTTATCCTTTGAAGTGTTCTCACGTATTTTTGTGACGTTTATAAGGAATTTTGAGATGTTGGAATAGACTATGAAACTCAGATACCTCTTAGAGGAATATCGGTTTCAGTGTCATGGTGGCCGAGTGGTTAAGGCGTTGGACTCGAAATCCCAATGGGGTCTCCCCGCACAGATTCAAATCCTGTCCATGACGATTTGAAGTTTTCTCACTTATTGTGAGAAGTTTATACTTAATTTTGATGTTAATGGACCGAACAAATAAACTTAGATATTCGTTAGAGGAACACATGGATCAAGGTGTCATGGTGGCCAAGTAGTTAATGCATTTGACTTGATTTCCAATCGGGATTGGCCACACACATTCAAATCCTGTCGATGATGATTTTAAGTGTTCTCACATATTTTTGAGATGTTTACGAAGCATTTTGAGTTATTGGATGAGACTAAGAAACTCAGATATGTTAGAGGATCGTAGGTGACAGTGTCATGGTGGCCGAGTGGTTAAGGCGTTGGACTTGAAATCCAATGGGGTCTCCCCGCACAGGTTCAAATCCTGTCCATGACGTTTTGAAGTTCTCTCACTTATTTTTTCAATGTTTATAAGTAATTTGAGGTTAATGGACCGGACTAATACACTTAGATATTCGTTAGAGGAACACATGGATCAAGGTATTCTGGTGTGCAAGTAGTTCAGGCGTTAGACTTGATTTCCAATTGGGTATGGTCATACACATTCAAATCCTGTTGTTAGCCGATTTGAGTTTTTCACGTATTTTTGAGATGTTTATAAGTAATTTGAGGTGATTGAATTAACTTAGATATTCGCTAAAAAAACACCTGCATCAGGGTGTCATGGTGGCCGAGTAGTTAAGGCATTCGACTTGATATCGAATTGGGTATATCCACATAGATTAAAATCTTATCCTTTGAAGTGTTCTCACGTATTTTTGTGACGTTTATAAGGAATGTTGAGATATTGGAATAGACTAGGAAACTCAGATACCTGTTAGAGGAATATCAGTTTCAGTGTCATGGTGGCCGAGTGGTTAAGGCGTTGGACTCGAAATCCAATGGGGTCTCCCCGCACAGGTTCAAATCCTGTCCATGACGAGTTGAAGTTTTCTCACTTATTGTGAGAAGTTTATACTTAATTTTGATGTTAATGGACCCAACAAATAAACTTAGATATTCGTTAGAGGACCACAAGGATCAAGGTGTCATGGTGGCCAAGTAGTTAATGCATTTGACTTGATTTCCAATCGGGATTGGCCACACACATTCAAATCCTGTCGATGATGATTTTAAGTGTTCTCACATATTTTTGAGATGTTTCCGAAGCATTTTGAGTTATTGGATGAGACTAAGAAACTCAGATACCTGTTAGAGGAATATCGGTTTCAGTGTCATGGTGGCCGAGTGGTTAAGGCGTTGGACTTGAAATCCAATGGGGTCTCCCTGCACAGGTTCAAATCCTGTCCATGACGTTTTGAAGTTCTCTCACTTATTTCTTCAATGTTTATAAGTAATTTGAGGTTAATGGACCGGACTAATACACTTAGATATTCGTTAGAGGAACACATGGATCAAGGTATTCTGGTGTGCAAGTAGTTCAGGCGTTAGACTTGATTTCCAATTGGGTATGGTCATACACATTCAAATCCTGTTGTTAGCCGATTTGAGTTTTTCACGTATTTTTGAGATGTTTATAAGTAATTTGAGGTTATTGAATAAACTTAGATATTCGCTAGAAAAACACCTGCATCAGGGTGTCATGGTGGCCGAGTAGTTAAGGCATTCGACTTGATATCGAATTGGGTATATCCACATAGATTAAAATCTTATCCTTTGAAGTGTTCTCACGTATTTTTGTGACGTTTATAAGGAATTTTGAGATATTGGAATAGACTAGGAAACTCAGATACCTGTTAGAGGAATATCAGTTTCAGTGTCATGGTGGCCGAGTGGTTAAGGCGTTGGACTCGAAATCCAATGGGGTCTCCCCGCACAGGTTCAAATCCTGTCCATGACGATTTGAAGTTTTCTCACTTATTGTGAGAAGTTTATACTTAATTTTGATGTTAATGGACCCAACTAATAAACTTAGATATTCGTTAGAGGACCACAAGGATCAAGGTGTCATGGTGGCCAAGTAGTTAATGCATTTGACTTGATTTCCAATCGGGATTGGCCACACACATTCAAATCCTGTCGATGATGATTTTAAGTGTTCTCACATATTTTTGAGATGTTTCCGAAGCATTTTGAGTTATTGGATGAGACTAAGAAACTCAGATACCTGTTAGAGGAATATCGGTTTCAGTGTCATGGTGGCCGAGTGGTTAAGGCGTTGGACTTGAAATCCAATGGGGTCTCCCTGCACAGGTTCAAATCCTGTCCATGACGTTTTGAAGTTCTCTTAATTATTTTTTCAATGTTTATAAGTAATTTGAGGTTAATGGACCGGACTAATACACTTAGATATTCGTTAGAGGAACACATGGATCAAGGTATTCTGGTGTGCAAGTAGTTCAGGCGTTAGACTTGATTTCCAATTGGGTATGGTCATACACATTCAAATCCTGTTGTTAGCCGATTTGAGTTTTTCACGTATTTTTGAGATGTTTATAAGTAATTTGAGGTTATTGAATAAACTTAGATATTCGCTAGAAAAACACCTGCATCAGGGTGTCATGGTGGCCGAGTAGTTAAGGCATTCGACTTGATATCGAATTGGGTATATCCACATAGATTAAAATCTTATCCTTTGAAGTGTTCTCACGTATTTTTGTGACGTTTATAAGGAATTTTGAGATGTTGGAATAGACTATGAAACTCAGATACCTCTTAGAGGAATATCGGTTTCAGTGTCATGGTGGCCGAGTGGTTAAGGCGTTGGACTCGAAATCCAATGGGGTCTCCCCGCACAGGTTTAAATCTTGTCCATGACGGTTTGAAGTTTCCTCACTTATTGTGAGAAGTTTATACGTAATTTTGATGTTAATGGACCGGAATAATAAACTTAGATATTCTTTAGAGGAACGCATGGATCAAGGTGTCATGGTGGCCAAGTAGTTCAGCCGTTCGACTTTATTTCCAATTGGAATTGGCCACACACATTCAAATCCTGTCGATGATAGTTTTAAGTGTTCTCACATATTTTTGAGATGTTTACGAAGCATTTTGAGTTATTGTATGAGACTAAGAAACTCAGATATGTTAGAGGAACGTAGGTGACAGTGTCATGGTGGCCGAGTGGTTAAGGCGTTGGACTTGAAATCCAATTGGGTCTCCCCGCACAGGTTCAAATCCTGTCCATGATGTTTTGAAGTTTTCTCTCTTATTTTTTCAATGTTTATAAGTAATTTGAGGTTAATGGACGGGACTAATACACTTAGATATTCGTTAGAGGAACACATGGATCAAGGTATTCTGGTGTGCAAGTAGTTCAGGCATTAGATGTGATTTCCAATTGGGTATGGTCATACACATTCAAATCCTGTTGTTAGCCGATTTGAGTTTTTCACGTATTTTTGAGATGTTTATAAGTAATTTGAGGTGATTGAATAAACTTAGATATTCGCTAGAAAAACACCTGCATCAGGGTGTCATGGTGGCCAAGTAGTTAAGGCATTCGACTTGATATCGAATGGGGGTATTTCCACACAGATTAAAATCTTATCCTTTGAATTGTTCTCACGTATTTTTGTGACGTTAATAGGGAATTTTGAGATATTGGAATAGACTAGCAAACTCAGATACCTGTTAGAGGAATATCAGTTTCAGTGTCATGGTGGCCGAGTGGTTAAGGCGTTGGACTCGAAATCCAATGGGGTCTCCCCGCACAGGTTCAAATCCTGTCCATGACGATTTGAAGTTTTCTCACTTATTGTGAGAAGTTTATACTTAATTTTGATGTTAATGGACCCAACTAATAAACTTAGATATTCGTTAGAGGACCACAAGGATCAAGGTGTCATGGTGGCCAAGTAGTTAATGCATTTGACTTGATTTCCAATCGGGATTGGCCACACACATTCAAATCCTGTCGATGATGATTTTAAGTGTTCTCACATATTTTTGAGATGTTTCCGAAGCATTTTTAGTTATTGGATGAGACTAAGAAACTCAGATACCTGTTAGAGGAGTATCGGTTTCAGTGTCATGGTGGCCGAGTGGTTAAGGCGTTGGACTTGAAATCCAATGGGGTCTCCCCGCACAGGTTCAAATCCTGTCCATGACGTTTTGAAGTTCTCTCACTTATTTTTTCAATGTTTATAAGTAATTTGAGGTTAATGGACCGGACTAATACACTTAGATATTCGTTAGAGGAACACATGGATCAAGGTATTCTGGTGTGCAAGTAGTTCAGGCGTTAGACTTGATTTCCAATTGGGTATGGTCATACACATTCAAATCCTGTTGTTAGCCGATTTGAGTTTTTCACGTATTTTTGAGATGTTTATAAGTAATTTGAGGTTATTGAATAAACTTAGATATTCGCTAGAAAAACACCTGCATCAGGGTGTCATGGTGGCCGAGTAGTTAAGGCATTCGACTTGATATCGAATTGGGTATATCCACATAGATTAAAATCTTATCCTTTGAAGTGTTCTCACGTATTTTTGTGACGTTTATGAGGAATTTTGAGATGTTGGAATAGACTATGAAACTCAGATACCTCTTAGAGGAATATCGGTTTCAGTGTCATGGTGGCCGAGTGGTTAAGGCGTTGGACTCGAAATCCAATGGGGTCTCCCCGCACAGGTTTAAATCCTGTCCATGACGGTTTGAAGTTTCCTCACTTATTGTGAGAAGTTTATACGTAATTTTGATGTTAATGGACCGGAATAATAAACTTAGATATTCTTTAGAGGAACGCATGGATCAAGGTGTCATGGTGGCCAAGTAGTTCAGCCGTTCGACTTTATTTCCAATTGGAATTGGCCACACACATTCAAATCCTGTCGATGATAGTTTTAAGTGTTCTCACATATTTTTGAGATGTTTACGAAGCATTTTGAGTTATTGTATGAGACTAAGAAACTCAGATATGTTAGAGGAACGTAGGTGACAGTGTCATGGTGGCCGAGTGGTTAAGGCGTTGGACTTGAAATCCAATGGGGTCTCCCCGCACAGGTTCAAATCCTGTCCATGATGTTTTGAAGTTTTCTCTCTTATTTTTTCAATGTTTAT